CGAGTGAAACTATTTTGTACTCCTTCCAAAGCATAAATATCTTTTTTCTTATAAACAGTAGACCCAACAACGGACGGGTGTGAAAACAGTAGACCCACATTCCAAAATGGGACGATCGTAAGCCTCGAAAGCTCTAAGCAAGGTGTTAGAGTCATTGGTGCAAAGCACTTCGAAAACATTGAAACTCCAACGGAGAGCTCTTGAAACTAATGCTTTATAATGATTAGAGAATCGAGTCCTATCATAATGAAATCCCAGGTCACGGAATTCTAATAACACTTCAAGAATTGCGTCACTCAAACGATGTAAAAGAATCCGAGCATGCTTGTCTAGGCACAACATTTGTGTTTTCTTGATGGATAGTGGAAGATGATTCATTACAGACCATGGAAGATGATTCATTACAGACCAATCAACAGCCTTATCAATTGCTTTTTGGAGACTTATATCAGCACATTATCTGCGTAAAGTTTGCAAATAACATCGAGATCTTTTAGTAACCAAGAAAAGCCTGAAGTAAATATGTTAAACAGAACTGGTGAAAGTACCCACCTTGAGGTACTCCTGACTTTACAGTATGGATAGAAGAGAAAGAGCCCTTCACAAAAACTTGAAATGTTTTGTAATACAGAAATTCATTTATCCAACGAAAAATCAATTATCCTTAAGGATAAGGATAATTGATTTTTCGTTTTCTGCATAACACTATCCTCTTGACTTCTCCGATGCTGGTTTTGGCTTCGGCAGGTTGGCGGACCTACTAGAATGGTATCTGGAGTTCTACATATGTCGTCCTCTACGAGCTTGCAGTGTTGGCGGCCACTGTCCTTCCGAGCCGAATTCCAATCCATCTTCACGCAGATCCCTCTGTTGTTCCCCACTAGTTTNGTTACTACTTATCGGAGACTTGTTTGTGTTTCTTTTTGCCTTTCTGTTATTTTCTTTGATTTCCGATAATAAATCATAATCATAATCATAACTTTCCACTAGGGGATGGAAATAGCATGTTCATAGCATGTTTTTGAACCAGTGACTCATGGGAAACTTTATCAACTGCTTTTCGGAAGTCAAAATAAACTATATCTACGTCATTCTCCCGATCCAAAGACCTTGTCCAGTCACTGAGACAATCCATTGACGAAGTCTCAGTAGATCTACCTTTACAAAAACATGCAGAGAACTTGGAATTATACCAAATTCATTATGATGGGAAACTATGTATTTTTCGAGGATTTTCTCGAAAACTGGCAAAATAGAGGTCAAGCTTGCAGGCCTTTAGTTTCCAGGATCAGATAGTAGTTCTTTCTTGAGCAACTTAACTGCTCATGAAACTAAGGGTAAATAGGAACTCAAAAGGTCTAGTGATTACATGAACGCATTGCTTAATAACCAAATATGGAAGTCCATCAAGGTTATTTAAGGCTGATGATGCCCACTTAAGCAGCAACCCCTCAATATCCTCTTTATAAAACCAAGGAGCAGGATCAGCGCAACCAATACTAGGATACAATAGAGGTGCCATTACAAGGCAAGATGAAGCACAAGCTTTTTCAAAAGTATCAGCTAACATTTCAGCTTTGTTTTCATTAGCCACTGCCCCTATCGTATCCTTGCATAAAGTAGCAATGCATGGCTCATCTGGATACCTCGAATTCAGGATTGAGGCAAAAAATATAAGAACGAGATTTCTTTTCTTCTTGAAAACTTCGATATGAATTAATCCAATTGAGAACAATGTAGACGTGGTAGAACGCACCGAACACACACCGAAACCCTACTTTGTCACGTGGATGTCCTTCAGATAACCATCTGCCAATCCTGTTGAGGATGAAGAATTCGAAAAGTTTATACATTATGGGTGTCGAGTGACTCATACTCATTCCTCATGAAAAAGACCTTTTCTCCTCTTGAGCCCATGGGATTGGCGTACGGCTATTACTTGGCTTGGCTCCACGAGACTTGTCGACATAGTCGTGTGCCAAAGTCCAGACGAGTCTCTATATATGGTTAGGCACCATTATCAACTGATACAGGTACTAGGCTTGAATATCACCCATGGCCATTCCAGCCTTTAGAGATCTCATTCTCGCTCCTAATCTTATTTCTTTGGTCTGTGCTAGCTCTACTTGTAAAATAAGGTAACGGTAGTCGTAGTCAAAATCTTCTAACACCCTGTCTTTTCGAAGGTTCTTCAAATTCGACCGAGCTTTTCTTGGCCAGCCTGGCTAACCTGGCCAACCTGACCAACCACAAGCAGCTTGAATGAACACTATGTTGCCTGAAAGGTTTTGGCTGATTTTTGAGTCACCTTTTGGTGAAATTTTTTAAAGGAATAAATCCATTCATCAAGTAATACATCCTTCATTCTGTTCATTAATGGTTCGCCAACTTCCTATAGGTTCCATTATCTCACTTCCATAGAAGGTCCTAGATTTAATATCGAAAAACCACCTCAGGTGCTTTTTGCATTCGTCTAGCGGATCAAACAATTTTCTATTCAAAGAGTTCTGCAGAAATCTGAACAAGTGGCAGTCTGATGACGCTGTGTCCGGACTACATATGCTTNGGGGGTGGCGAGACATCTCACCCCCTATTCTCGCAATTTTTTACTACTGGCCAAAAATACATGTGATCCGTGTGGACGACAACGCCCTACGATTGGCCAGTTGTGAACGCTTCTGGTCTATCGCTGCCTTCAAAGTATCTAGCTGAGTATAGTACCTTTCGTAAGTTATCGTTTGTATGCGACGACATCTCACAGTAATGATTTCCTACCAATCCCAACAGCAACGCAGCATAATCTTCAGCACCATGGTTTTGGTTCTTGGCGACGGCCTGGGGAGAGTCCACGATGGCTTCTGCTCCGCGTTGTTGTACACAATCCACTTTTCGTCATCCCTTATCACGTTTTCCAGATATGGCTCATTTTCGTTTCATATGGTCCATCATATTGCGCTCCCTCAATTTCTGAGGTACCCAAACATCAAGGCGCTTCTCAAAATCATTCCTAGCAAGAAGGCGTTGATGGTTGATCTTGTAACAGTGAACCTTTCTCCTCTTTCACGAATGTTGATGTACCGATTCGTTTTGATTGACATGATGATATGTTCGTTCTCAGCCGATGATAACCTCATTGAGCTTGCCAACCTGCGAGGGTGAATTCACACTGTTTAAATTTTGCAAACCACTCAGGCCCTGTTTGTTCCCCTAGAGCATTGTCTACATGTTATCACAAACTTCCTCACTGCTTGAGCCACTTCCTTCCCTTGTGGTAGAAAAAAAAAGATCCGATGCCGAAGATGCATGCCGTGGCCTTCAATTTTAACATGAGTCCTATACAGACAGACCTTGAGGAATGTTAGCAGAATCTAAAGAGGGATATGGGAAAAGGTATGGTCCTTGACTTTCTGTACAACACTTTATAAGCCCAACAAGTTGAAAAACGGCGGAAACATTCCGGATGACCCAATAAATAGAAACAAAGAAGCGAAACTAACGTAAAAACTAAACACAAAACAGCATCGAAGAAGCTTCACTAAAAATGGAGCCAAAAGTTGGACCAAAAATGACGCTGTCATTGGTAAACAGTTTTTCTGCAAAACCAACACACATAATGCTCTGTTAGAGGTTTATAAAGCGATACTGTCTTGAAGTCTGACTTTTCGGGCTTCGGATCATCGAAGGATGTGTTCCAGCGTATCAGCGCTATTTGTATTCGTTGGCTGAAACGAAGTACATATGCATAGTTCCTAAAATCTTGAGCAAGTTTTTGTACGAGATGAGAGCTGGCATTGAAATATCTTTTTAATTTGTATTTGTAAAACGTTGGAGGATGTTGCGCAGTTACAATTGATACACTACATATTATGGGCATGGTTCAGGAAAACCAAACCTTCTGTCCTTTTAGGGTCTGAAACTAGTACCGGACTGATCTCCATCTACGAGGATGAAGAGCACTCACTTTTGCTTCGGATGGGAGTAACAAGTCGCTGTTGTGGTCATTTACGCGTCCAACACGCCACTACGATTCTGATTATAGGTCAAATGCAGGGCGCTTCTCATAAAAGACGATTGGTTATTGCTAAAAACTTTATCCTTCATTACCGGATAAAATATGGAATTACTTTTGGGTGTCCAAACCTTTCTCCAGCACTACGATTTAAGTATCACCGGGACGTGACATTTTCCCAATCGTAATCAACGAATTACTTCCAAGCTATAAATCTGGAAGTGAGAGGTTTCATACTGTCTCTTTTCTAACGGGACTGCCTTTGAAAAAAAGCTGTTCGCCGAAATATATGTTCTTTGAATGGACACGCCCATCTACCAGACCCTGAATGATTTTCTTGAAAGATGGAGACTGTCCGGGAATCACAGATCGAAAAAGAACAAGTTCCTGTTTGACTTCGACTTTTCTCTGACGAAAGGCGATCGAAAACCCCGTCACCATTTTAGAATTTGTTACACACTGAGTCAAATCGCATGTGAACAGGCAAGTAGCAGCCTCTCAAAAAGTTATGAACTCAGAAAATTTAGATCATGGAAGCTGAAGTTTCGCGCGGTGGGTGAACGCACCTTCATCCCTGTCTTGAGGAAAGGTTAGTTGAAAAGGCAAAAAGTCGGTTCTAAAATAAAATTCCTTGGGCGTCCAGCCCACGATGCGCTCAACAGTGGCAACACAACACTTGACCCAGTACGTTTACTCCTCGAGACTGTATGAGAGGGGTAGCCAACAGCGAACCGCCTGAGTAATGATAGTTCAGTGAGTCAGAACACCCTCCATAAGCGAGGCATGAAAGGCCATATCTCCAAACAACATTAAGACTTTGTGAAGGCTAAACGTTGATGGTTATGAACATTTGGAGGCTTAGCGCAACTGCTGATTGCAGCATACAACGTAGCCGGGGGAAATTTAGAGGCTTCGGAAGTCGTAAAAAACAGAGTACATTAAATTTACAAACGAAAAAGTGCAAAGTGCACGAAAAACTCGAAAATGAGTTCTAAAATGAGTTTGCACCTTGTAGATCTCTTCTTCCTCTCATGTTCGGCGGTATAGCCACACCGAGTCCTCCTCCGCCGAAACCAAATGCTCCACCGGGTCTATCAGGACTCATTGGACCATTTGGATCTGTAAAACCACCTTTGATTCCGCCGGTTTCTCGGCTTGCTGTGCAGAACAAAGAGCTAAATAGTTTTTGGCTCATTCTTAATGATGTGCTTGAAGGTAAAAAGCACAATAGGCAGGTGAAAGATGTTGATTGAAATGCCGGATTTTTCAACAACCATATGTTCGAACGAGATTTAACCTGGTCCTATTGCGCAAAGTGATGACTACATCAAGTCGGAATTGTTCTAAACTGCCTTTCACTATCGCCGTAGGTTATGACAAGTTGTTCGAAATTCCTGCACTAGAGTCCCTTCAGATATTGCAGCTTTTACAAAGCCGTTGAAATTCGTCCTTTATGAGTGTGGCATTCACACGATACAATCTCTGGCCTCTTATTGTTCCCTATCTAGGACGTTTCTCGATCTTATAACGGCAGGTATTGTATGAGGGGGAGCCTCGAATTCATACCGTGGGGAAATCTCGGAAACCATTTTTATCGTGAACTGTGTCTTTAACTCAGAACGAAGTAATCAGAATTTCGTTGGGATCTTTCGCAGTGCCCCTTCTCGTGCATAACCTAACTTTCGAGGCTGCACATTGCAGTTGTGTAACTGTATCATTGCGTTCATTTTATACGCACACGATATTTATCGTACTTGGTGAAGGAAAGGAGAAGTCATTTACGCTTCCTTAGATGGATCAAATCGGATTGAAAGTCAAACAGTTCAGCGGCCCATTTCTAACTCGCTATTCACTCATTCCAAATTCTAGAAGTTCTACAAAATTAACACGGTTTCCTACATGTAACATTTCGGGTTCTGCTGGTAACCCGCCAGTTCACTGCTGTTAAAAATTTTGCGGGCCCTATTGTGAGGGTTGCAACAAACCAGGGCATCTTACAAAAGATTCGAGCAATGATTAATCATTAATGATTAGAACTGAAAGAAAATTGCTTTACAAGCCTATGCAAATATCAAATTTTGAGGTTCAATTTCTATAGATTGACGAGTTACTTGAACGAACTGTTTAATTGCAGGGAATCAACACTGGATCAGTAAGTACCGATTTCAAACCAATAATTAACGGGTACCCTTGTGGTGGAATTTTTTTTTTCGCAGGAAAATCTCATAACTTGAATTTCTGAATAGATTCCAACCTATTGTGTAAGGAGGCATAGCTTGTCCATGGAATGACGGTATGGCGACCATTGCAACGAAAACAGCAAGTAGCACCTTTATTTTCATAGTAGAAGTATACGGTGTCGATGGAGAAGCAGTAGAAGTGCAGCCTATTTGTCCCACGACTATCTCTTTTCACTTGGCTAAGTCTTTTATATTTCTCCATGAATCATAACAGCAGGAGAAAAAGAGGAAGAGGCAACTCCCACTGATTCTTTCAAGATTTCTGGTCTGAATGTCGTCATACCCTTGAAGGACGAATAATTAATGATAGCTGAGACAGTTTCGATAAAAATTGTTCTCTACTCGCGTTCCTTATAGAACGATACTCCATAAACAGCCATTTGACTGGTTTTCCCTGTAAGGCCACCTCCAACTTTTGTGGATCACTCTCTCGGCAGTACATCAAATCAAGTTCAATGAGGATGGTTCGGTGATTAGCAGTCCACGTGAAAAACATATAGCTGATTAAATCGAGCCTGAGATCGAGCATTAGAAAAAGGAAAAGTAGGTGTGGTACATGGCAAAGCTAAAAAATCCTTATAGTTTCAGATGAACAAGAAAAGCACCTAACTCTTCACACCTGAACGTTGAAAGAATCCCCCGCTCTCGTTCTCAGGAAATCGCCGTTAACCTGTTTTTATCCAAAAACTCAACGATTAGAACTTTGTCGTAGGCCATGCATGATGCATGACGTCATGATGTTTTGTGACTTCAGTGATAGGTGGGCTCTCAGTGCGGGCAGATACACACTGTGAGCGTATTTGGCGAAATGACTGAACTGAATGGTGCTAATACAGTTGAGCTGTACAAAAATAGGACTATTAGGTTGATTCATAACTATTCCGGATTTTTTTCAACAATTTCTATTTTAAAAAACGATAAGAATATCTAAGAAAGACATGTTCAAATAATTACTCCGAAACTAATCCACCACCTACGTCAAGCACAGCTTCCCATTTGCGTGTCAGTCGGATGTCACAGGCGAAGAAGTTTTGATTCTTGGAGGAGATCCACGCCTTGACAGCGGCCATCAAGCCTTCCATTCCGTCGTAAGTTCTACTAATAGCTAGCCAATTTTCCAACAATCGGTTGACCTGATGATCCATAAAGTTTCTATCGATGAATATGACGGATCGAAGAGAACCTCCCATTCCTATCTTGACTTTGGCTGACTGTTCTATCTCAAAAAGCTCGTAGAGATCGCGAAATGACTGTACCAACTTTCGAACTTTCTCGCGACAGTAGAGCATAATGTGGCGGACATGAAGATGACTTGCTAGAGCATTTTTGTTAAGGAAAGCGAGAAGATTGTTTCTATTGAGCCGAATTCAATATTCAAATTGTATCGATAGAAAAGAAGCCGCGAAAAATTCCGCAATAATTATGCATCAACCTATTAAAATGAAATAGAATTTCAGAGTAGGCATATCTGTCTACATCCTTGCTTAATGGCGTTGATAAAAGGAGAAGGATAAATCTTTGGCCCGCGTAGGTCCTTATTTAGGATGCGCCCCCACACTGTTCTTCTTTTCAGAATCGTAGCGTCATTTTTAACGCGTGTGTTTTGTTTTCTGAACAATGACTTGCTAAGGCTAGCCGATACGCTTATCACTGCTTTAATCCCCTGTCGGGTGCTAGTCGGCTCTTTGAGCAATGGAAGCAAGTTTGATCTAGTCCAAACACCCCTTACATGCCATTACCGTCACGGTAATCTCGTACAACCTCCACTTCCACTACTTTTAAAAAGCCTTAAAGTAGGCAGATTTTCTTCGCCACCGATTCACTCGTCTACATCAACACTTCTACTTTCCTACCTAGAAAGAGTTTCCAGCGACAAACCATGCCGCGAACAGCCATGTAATACCTTAGACAAGACGTTGGGTGAGCCAAAAGGGAAAATTTCTAAACGCTAAGCTGGTTCAGCTAATGCCACACTGTACAAATTTGCTCGTAGGATTCGATTCAATACTTTTATGATGGTTCCCTTTACCAGTCATTAGTCATATCAATTGATGGGCTCTGAAGTAAAGTCGTAGTGGCTCTAGTATGTCGGTTAAATGCAACTTCATAACTTTGCTGTAGATCCCTTCGAATGCAAGTTTTTGTAAGGAAATGAAGACCCGGAAGGAATCACCCTAAGCCATCTACCTTCCCTATCTCTACCGCATCGACGCATCGCTATCGGGTACGTATAGGAGAACGAGTAAACCTCCTTCGACAGTCTCACAAGAATGGCGATTTGTGGGCAAAACTCCAGAGTCGGACGGGACTCGAACCCGTACTTGTCCTTTCCGGGGATTCACTTTTTTTGAGAACGTGGTGGGAGGGACTTGATGAGTGATTGATGCCTGCGAGTCAAACGGAATGCGGAAAGCATAGAGATTTGTTTGGTCCATTAACGTCTGCGTCAGTAAAATCTATCCTGTACGGCCATGGCTGCAAGAATCTTGTTCCCTAATCCTGCTCAAACTAAGATGGACCAGAAGTACCTATAGAGAAGACAACCAGTTTGTTCTACTTAAAGGACTCTAATTTGCTTCCTCATTGTTAGAAGACTTTTTTACACTTAGGAATCGTTACCAAATGAGCAGCACCAACAGATAACCGATGGCGCTAGATAACTGCTATCAATTATCCGATGGTGCTGATGATGCTCATATGATATCAGTTCCTGATAAGACTTCACGTATTACGTGTTGGGAAAACAACAGACAGTAGGTCCGGATTTCGACCGCTAGCAAAGACAGAAAGTCGTGATAAGTGTATTGCGACCTCGTCATCTGTGACACGAACCTCCAGAAAAGGCTGCCGGAATCCCCCATTCAAATAGTTGAAAAGCGGAACTAGTTTTGCACAACATTTTTGGCTAAGGGTGAAGTGTAGGGTCGTCTAAAAAATTTTTGCTGAAGATTTGCAAACTCCAGACCTTTCTGAAATATTCTTGGAATTTCAATGGAGCTGTCATACATATAAGGACAGTACCAAGTTGTATGGCTAGATCATATACAGCTCCCTCTTCTCTGCTTATGTATTCATAAAATGGCGAACTGTCCACCCATATTCAACATGTACTTGAGTTTGAACCCATCCACTGCGGTGCTCAAATTTTAGGAAACTTAGGTCAAGAGCAACCCCTGTAGCCCACAGACATTGGCACATATTGCATATTTTCTGAGTGACGTATTAGTAGACCGAGAGAAAGTAGAAGGTCAGTGCGAACGCACTGAGTATACGTTAAATTGATCTCTACTTTATTGAATGGCTCCCCGAAACGAATTCCAGGGTTTAAAAGTTCTAGGAATCTAGGATGCAAATTTTTAGCAACTTACATGACAATGAAATAACCTATTTCCACACGTTCCAGGCCCATTTTAGCAACCGATTAAGATTGAAATAATAGCAGCAGGTAAGTATTTTGTCGAAATCGTAGAGCTTCACAGGAAGCTTTATCTGAAACCGTTCCTTTGAGTGCCCACTTTCGCTCTATACTTCATTAATATTACCCAACAATAAGATGCGAAACGTGAACGTTTTCTGAGAAGTAAAAACTGTTTCAAATTGATTTCAGGCCCGTTCAAAATATCCTAGCAATGAATTTGTCCTCGCTGGAGATGAACATAAGCGCGACCAAGTTTTCCATCTTGGAGGAAAGAGGGAGCTGATCGGAGACGGGCATAGAGAAAACAGAGTAGTTTAGCGTTTCTTATACCTGGGGATCTAGCCTGACGGTAGCGCTCTCAAGGGAGGAAAAATTTGAATATCCGTAGCGTGGAGGAAAGGAAATAAACCCACTGGTTTCCTACGTAACTGACGGCGCTGTACAATCTTTGAAGGAGGGCGCACCGGACAGTGATGAGGCTCATAATGCTCCATGGTAGTGATCTGATTGCTGGCCCGCCAGCAAAAGCCTTGAAAG